CATACTGTATTTGTTGCCAAAACCTATAACCAAGAACTAAAGCATAAACTGTATTTAATGCCAGGATGACATGTTGCTTCCAGTTCTTATATCCATCTGCATTCTTTTTGCCGTACACGTCTATCAAAATTTCCACCTTGGGAGTCACAATTAACCTTTTTGATAACTAGGGATGCACCCATACCATTTTTGCAAGACCGAGTACTGATACTTTTCCTTAATTACTCGCCGATACCAACTACTGGTACCTTTTTTTTAGTATCATGTGCCATTTTTTCTAAAACAATACATACTAATGATTTTAGGACAGTGGTGGAACACCAGGGCCCAGTTGCAGTTGCAAATGTTGTGATCCTGGTAGTTCTGCCACTGACTCCAAGCTGTAGAGGGATTACAAATCCCAGCATACAATATACAGCAATGCAGAATACCACCAGCGATAGAGGACTACAGAGCCCAGCAATACATTATACAGCAATGCAGAATAATAGGAAGCTCCATCCTCTGTGTGGTTCACCAGAGCTGTGCGGAGTCTCAGGAGGTTGTGCAGTGTATGACCAGGGCTGTGCGCAGTCTCACCAGGGCTATGTGCAGCGTCTCCCCGGGGCTGTGAATTCTCAGCAGGGCTGTGTGTGGCATCTCCTGGGGCTGTGAATTCTCACCAGGGCTGCATGTTGACTCCCCAGGGCTGTGCATTCTCCCTAGGGCTGTGTGCAACGTCTCCCCACGGCTGTGCATTCTCCCAAGGGCAGTGTGTGGTGTTTCTCCAGGGCTGTGCGCGGCATCTCTCCAGGACTGCGCATTGTCCCCAGAGCTGTGAGCGGAGTCTCCCCAGGGCTGTGTGTGGCATCTCACCAGGCTGTACGGGGACTCGTGGTTTGTGGAAAAGGCTATGTGCACCCGTACCGGCTCTGCAAAAGACAGCCACCATGAAGTCCTCACAAAGGTGCCAAGGTCCCTAACAAGCGTGGGACCTCAGGCAGCCAAAACCATTCATAAATTTACAGGCCTGGTATTGGCGCTTCGTATCGGGTCATTTTCACGAGTACAAATGAAAAAGTCCAGTATCGACACCGTACATATCATAAAACACGTATATATATAACAGTTTTCTTATTGTTTTAATGGTTTTACTCACATAAAAGTAATAAAAACATAACTTTCAGGTTAATAGATATACCACCCCTTGGGTATGACAGTTAATTGAACCATTGCATTTCAAAACTATCTGTAGATACCCATATATAATTGAGGATGATTTCTGACAATTATCTGGAGGCTGAGTTCTGAAATATTGTGGTTTGATCAACTGTGATACTCAAGAAGTGGTAATCTACTAACCTGCTTTTTTATTTACTTTGCAGGAGCAGAAGCCCAGGAGGTGATCGATTCAGTTCCTAGGCTTAGTGCTGGACTGTGGCTGTTGATTCCAGACAATATGGGATATTTGCTATTATTTAATGCTTTTGAGTTAGAGGGGATGAAACCAAGGGCTCATTACATCATTGATGATTGTATATATTGAACTTATGGGGATTCATACTTGTTTTATGAATGAGAGTTTATGTTGGGTGACCCCTAGTAGTAGAATGCAGTGATCGTGGCACATTTGTTGTTTTTCCTGAAAACGCATCCATGCGTTTTTCCTGAAAACACATTTCCCATAAGATGGGTGCCTGGATGCCTAAGGAAGACTAAGGACTGCTTCTTGGATGTCCATACAAATTTGGACAATGGACTTTGAAGTCCATGAGCTTAAAAAAAATCCTTGCATTTTATTGAAGATGGGTGGAAAAACTGTGCCTTATATAAAACGGGGGAGGGGGCGGGTACAGCTGGCTCTGCCTCTAGATAGGCAGAGCCAGCTGTCACTCACGCATCGATGTCGGGATCCGCTCCGGCGTCTCAGTATACCGCGAGCTACAGCTCGCGGTATACTGAGCTTAGGGTAACGGGAGGACGCTAGTTTGTGTCCTCCCGTTACCCTAAGGAGAACTATGGGGAAAAGCTCTGACCCCATAGTTCTCCTTTAACAGTTTCTAGTACTCAATACTTTAATAATGCTGTGCAAGAAGCTGAGCAACCAAAAACAACTTTGACAAGCCCACAGCTGGATCAGCCATGCCACCGCTGATAGCAGCAATGACCTTTCTTGCCTGCTGCTTGAGAACATTCCTGCTAAAAGTGGAACAGTCCTATATTATCAAAAGACTGTAATTAATAAAAACACTCATAGTTACCAAAACATGAAAATACTTATTCTTTCCTAAAACAAAAAGACCTTTATGAGGTGAGACAATGATAATTGTCGGGATCCGTTTCAGCTGCGGCGTCTCAGTATACCCTTCGGAGAACTATGGGGAAAAGCCCTAACCCCATAGTTCTCCTTTAAGCTTCTCAACAAGAGACAACATTAATACTGGGGATATTATGAATGTAGCAACCTGTGTTGGCAGAAATTAGTGGATATCTATCCTGCTTTACTACTTGTGATAAATTGGTTTTGATTTTATCTTTGCTATGCCCTAGGATACTACAGGTGAAACTCGAATAATTAGAATATCGTGCAAAAGTAATTGCAGTAAGTGCTGCAAAAGGAGCCCAAACCAAGTACTGAGTACATATGCATGCTTGTACTTTTCAGAGGTCCGATATTGTTCTATGTACAATCCTTGTTTTATTGATTGCATGTAATAATCTACTTTTTTGAGGTTGTGGATTTGGGGTTCTTGGGGTTTTCATGAGCTGTAAGCCATAATCATCACAATTATGACAAATCACGGCTTGAACTATCTTGCTTTGCATGTGATGAGTCTATCTCATATATTAGTTTCACCTTTTAAGTTGCATTAGTGAAATAAATGAACTTTGCAGCATATTCTAATTATTCGAGTTTCACCTGTATATGCAAACTGTTTTTAATTACGGTATATTTTACCAACACTACCAGCAGGTGTCAGTATTACATTAAGCAGGACTGTGATTGGGTATATTGTACTTACATTCACCTATGTCAAACAGATCTATGCTGTCCCAATAACCATGTGCTAAATTACATTTCACTGTGGGACGCTATATATGGTGACTGTGTGTGATGCTCCCTTATAAAAGCATCCATCGCTGCTAGGACTAAACACCGCTTTGGAGATTTGTTTTTTTTTTAAATTCTTTACTGGTTATAATGAATGGTACATAAAGTAAGCTAACAATCACAAGAGTGGGAAACATTAAAAGCATTTGTTAGTCATCCAGTACATATCATACAGTAGAAACCAGGAACAACATAATGGAACAAAATAGCTGAGCATGTTGATTGACCACCATACAGATACCTATAAGTTGCAGATACCTCAAAAAAAAGTGGGAAAGACATGGTGGGAATCTTCCTACTCATGTCCCTGTGTAGGGGTTGAGAATGAACTTGGAATTTGTTACTTATTGTTTAAACATTTAGAAAGAAAAAGATAAGACACAGAGAGTGAAGTGTGGAGAAGATATGAGAAAAAAAGCAGTCAAAGAGTATAGTTAGTATAGTATAGATATACCAATACCTGTAAAAATGAGAACCTTCACAGACATACATCAGATAGAAAATTTTCTGCATTTAGAAGTACCAATAGGGTTGCCAGCTGTCCGGGATTCACCAGGACAGTCCAGGGTTTGAATGCTGTGTCAGGGTTTCATGGCAGCTGAAACCCAGACACAAGATGTCAGACAGACAAGGGCAACCAAAATTAAGATATGGGGCTACTGAACCCCACTGAAAATAGGCTGTGATATTTACATATGAATGGGTGGTGTTATTTACATATGAATACATTGTGACTCATTTATATGTAAATATGGATGTTAATTAATATACAAATTTGGCACCTCTCCCCCATTGTAGAAGGTGGTACAGTTTGGCATTCTGGCAGTCTCAGTGAAGGGAAAGTATTTCAGCTGTTCTTCTTCTTGTATCTCCTTTATCTGTCAGTGTGTGTGGCTAACAGACATATTGTATAGCTCTCTCATGTCTTTTTGCAGCCCTTCAACAGTTTAATTCACTTTGAATGAGACCCCTGGATGCTTTATAATTCCTTACACAGTTTTGCAGCTAAAATCTCTAGAAAGGACCCTTTTTAAATATAAAATATTGTAAGTTGGGATTTGTTTTCCATTTACTTTCAATAGGCATTGCAGGAAAATAAGCGAAACAAATCTACTGTTATAAAGCAAATATTGCATCTATGCTAATTCAGAAATCGCAATAATTTTAAAGGTAATTGCTGGTCAGTAAGAATACCTCTGTTACATTGCTGGTCGGTTGTATTTTCCTCCGTTACATTGCTGGTCAGTGTGAATACCTTTGTTACATTGCTGGTAAGTGTGAATACCTCCGTTAAATTGCTGATAATTATAGTCAGTAAACTCTGACTGTCTTAAAAGGAGAACTATGAGGCGAGTGAAAATCACTCAGCCTCATAGTCCTAGCCGACCTGTGACAATGACACTGTCACAGGTCGGCTCAATAGACCGGGAAGTGAGCAAACATATAGCATCGCTCGCTCACTTCTCGATCTATCCCTGCAGAGAGCCGTGACTGTCACTCACGGCTTCCTGCAGGGATTCCTCCAGCGCTGACTGGCGGAACGGATGGGGGAGGGGGCGGGTACAGCTGGCTCTGCCTCTAGAAAGGCAGGGCTAGCTGTCAATCACGCAGCTGGGTGGATCTCGACAGTAATGTCGGGATCTATCCCGGCTGCGGCGTCTCAGTATACCGCGAGCTGTAGCTCGCGGTATACTGAGCTTTGGGTGATGGGAGGATGCTTATTTGTGTCCTCCCGTTACCCTTAGGAGAACTATGGGGAAAAGCCCTGATCCCATAGTTCTCCTTTAAGTGCCAACATTCACTCAATGTCTCTTCAGATTAATAGTAATTTTATATTTAATTTCCATGAAGCTGGGAAGTGCATATACAAAAAGTCATAAAAAAGAAGTTACAAAGTTAGACAAGCAAATAATTATTGAAAACAATGGGGTGAAATAGGGATGTCCCGATACCAATGCTAGCATCGGAATCGGGCCCGATACATGGCATTTTGACAAGTACTTGTACTTGTCAAAATGCCCCGAAGCCTAACGCCGAAGCTTGCGCTGTTTTTAGAAACCTACAGAAAAATGTACTGAGGTAGCTTTCCTGTACAGCCGTTGGGCGACAAAAAGGATCATACCCTAACAGCAATTGGACCTTGTAGATAAGATAATGGTTTTGATCTCAAATCTCAACTATACACTTTTGATAACAGAGTATAGCTACCACCCTCTCCTGTGCAATAAGAAGGCGAGAGGCCGACATTCCAGTTATTTGCACAGGCAGGATTTGACTTTAACACTGAATATTGTAGGTAAAGTTGCATTTTTTATTTTTAAAACAACTGCTCTACTTACTTAACCATTTCCTCCCCAAATCCCCTTGTGTCCCAGAGTATTTTCTTTTTCTAGATATGTCTCAGTTCCATACCTTGTATCGTTTAGTGTTTGTAGTCTATCCTAATGTATTAGGCCTTTTACATGGACGTATACAGCCATACAGTGTGCATGTCTGTGCAGAAATGACAGCCGGTGTGTGCAGCTGCCTGTACACCTCAATGAGAGGATGTGGCTGTAAGCTGCTACATGCCAACCCAAACTTGTAAGCCATACAGGTAGAGAAGCACAGCCCCCTGGACGGTCTACGGCCATGGGCTTGCATCCTTACATTGTACAAACTGCACTGCTGTGCACATCTGTGTGAATGAGTCCTAATACGGGTAAGGCTTCAATTTCATGGCATTTTTTATCCTGATTTTTTTTTTCTCTTAGGAAAAAAGGAACAAAATGCATTTTCATTTAATTATTCCCAAATGCAACATTTATGTAATTTGCACACCCAATGACATTTACCTTAAATTATAATGACCAAAGACTGCTGATAACAATTATATTACATAAGTGCAATTGTCATGTAACCCTACTGGAATGGTAAAACAATGAACATTTGCGTTTTACTTTAGGGAGGTTTATTTTTCTTTTGATGCTACATTGCAAAACACCCAGTTAGCATAATATTACAATAAGAAGAAGACAGGTTGTTGAGAGCACACAAAGGAACAAAGCTGACTTTTTCACTGGTTTGTGAATGTTAAAAATCCAAATGACATTGCATTTACTTATGTGAGCATTTCACACTCAAGCTGTAAATTCTAATGTCTTCTACAACACTGTTATTGTTGAGACCTGGGGAACAATGCAGAGAGGAATAACGAATGCCAGCGGTTTCAGCCTGCTGTCACTGTCAGCCGGCTGTTCCAGACAACAAATGCACCTGGACCTGCCAGAGCCACCGATATCTGGTGCTATTTTAAAATGGCACTGGAAAATATAGCCGTGTCTGGGCCGTTTTACAAAAGGCACCAAGGACTTAAGTGCTTAAAAAATATATTGGAACCAGGCATTAGTACGAAATACGCTAATGACCCTCAGTTTGCAAATCAGCTTTCTAATAAGGAGAGCCTAACCATTGCATAACGGACTTTGCCACACTAATTACTTGGAAGAGGGAAGTGTATTCTAATCCCTCAGGTCTTTTTTACAGAACAACTATTTTTGGAACACCAGAAAGCACATTCATATGACTGGAGCTCAAAATCTGCTGGCTGCAAGTGGTAATTGTAAAATATTAATTTAAGATCAAAAAAATAAATAATTAGATTACACGTAGAATAGGATATAGAATAGGAGCACAATATATAGTTAGGGAGAACAGTTTAGAAGTATAGGGGAGTAGTTCAGCAATTGGAATATTGACCACGGGAGGGGGTTCCTTTTTTTCACATGAGGAAAGTCATTAGAGAGTAGGGAGGTGAAGTTAGGAAATGGGGTGGGGAGGGAGGTGGAGAAAGGGTGATAAGGATTCAGGTTGAGGGGAGAATTGGCACAGGAGGTGTATAGAGCCTGTCCATCTATTATTCCTCCAGAGGCGGGTCTGAAAGAAAGGGTCTTAGGATGGTGAAAAGTGGAAGTAGAGTTGGATGGTAGGAGTAAATGTGAGGTATAGATATGTTATCCCATTGGGTCTTTTTTTTCCTTATATATTTTTTTCTTCTATAAAATGTATTATGTAAATTATAATGAATTTAAGTGCAATAAAAACATATTAAACAAAAAATAAATAAATAAATAAGTCTTTCCTAAGATACTGACATATCTTTCTTTTGCAAAAAAAATGACTTAAGAAAAATGTATTGGTTTTCTCCAACTGTGTGCTCTCATTAGGCAGCATGTAAGTATAGATACCTTGCTTAGAGCCGCCACTCGCTGTGCCAGCTGAGCTTCAATTTCTGGGAGAGTCTCTGCCTTCTGCAGGGTCTGCTGTAATTTCTGTTTGGCGTCTTCTAGCCACTCCTGCAGCTGCCTGTTCTTCTCTTCACTCTGTGGTAAGAGTAAAAAAACAATGTTAAAATAATCAGTCAATAACAGTCAAGGAACCAATCTGGAGATGGCACTGAGATGTGTTTACTATAGAGTGGGGAAGGTGTAGACTTCCTGTGAAGTTTTTAATGCTGCCTGTGTCCCCATTAGGGGGATTAACACCTGTATTAGTACTGATGACCATTGTCACCAGAAAAGAAAATAAGGTGAAATCCAAAATAATTTAGAGCTGTCCCTAGAGGTAAAAGGGACATCATTAGGACATCATTAGGGGTGCCTGATTCCTGTGATCAGTGACAAAGGAGCGCTTTACTCACAGCACTTCCGGTCTCAGCTGTGACAAGCAGAGCTGCACAGGAGATCAAGCCTGATCCCTATTTAGATTTGTCCCTAGAACAAGAGATAAAAGGGACATCATCAGGGGTGCCAGATTCCTGTGATCAGTAAGACAGGAGCACTGTACTCACAGCAGTTCCTGTTTCAGCTGTGACAAGTGGGGCTGCACAGGAGATCGAGCACAATCTTGTACTTGATCTTTATTGGAGGGCAGGCTCCATAAATAGAACCTGTCACCTCCAAACGCTGTCGCATAGGGGCTTGTTAACCCCTATGTGATGGAAAAAAAGTTAAGTGGAAAAAAAAGTAAACAATTATAAAATAAATACAAATAAAAAAAATATAAAAAATTAATAAAGTAAATACAAATAAAAAAGTGATAAAAAGTAAAAAAATAAATAAATGGAAATGTAAAAAAAAAAGTGATAAAAAAGTATTTAAAAAAACAGTAAAAAATAATTTTAAAAAATGTAAACCAACCCCGCCACCCCCCGGCAACTGCATGCAAATAAACGCTTGCACAGAGCATTGTCTTCAGTCTTGCACAGTTGTACAGGCCCCTCTCCTGCAGTGAAATTACGCTGATTTCACTGCACACAGAGTTTCTCACAGAAGCTGCACATTAGTATGTCAGATACAGCCCATCTCATTTTCTGGCTGTTTGACATTCGTGATCATCTAGCTGTCGCATCTCAGCATCACATGTGGGCATTATCTGGAGTGGTCTGGATGCAGCCAGTCTAGGAAAACCCATTCCTCAAGACTGGCATCCGCCCATCCAGGCATTTTGATATTTGAAGATATGCATATATGGGCTTGCATAAGGGCTGAGGGCTTTTGAGAGGAGTACTGTGATAGGGTGAAGTAAAGTGTTTACAGGAAGCTATGTACAGTACCCTGCCGGCCTCTCCCTCCAGCCATGATCTGCCTACCTACTTGTACAGAGACGCAGTGATGATATTACTGGGTATAAAATAAGGTATGTAACGAAAAGGTAAAGGAAGGGAGAACCCAGGGAAGCCAAAATGTAATACGTTTTTTGTATTCACCATAAAATTGCACTGCTGCCACCAGTAGAAAAGTACATAACAGGTAACAAGTTTGTACTGGAAGCTAGGTTTGCCGGTAGCAAGGTTGCAATGTTGGCAAGGTTGCACTGGTAATAAGGTTCACTGGACACACAGGAGCTCCGGTAGCATAATACAGAATGCTTAAACAGTGCAGTATGTCCCGTTCAAGTTTAAATAGTAACAATAGCTGGTGTTCCACCAGCTATTACTTCATGGGAATTTTGACTTAGCTGCAAGCTACCCCCAAGTCACTCAACAGGTACTCCTAGACACAGAGAAGGGTAGGTGCCAGTGAGCTGGAACATTAGAGAGACATGAAACACCAGTTAGAAACTAAGGTGATTCAGGGATAGAATGGGTAGGGCCCATTCCCCTACATCCAGGTACAGCCAGCTAAGGGTTGTCTGCCCACCAATCACCAACACCAAAAGATACAAATGACATACAAGGCTGGAACAAGAAGTTCTAGTCAGAAGAGAATCCCTTCTACCTCTTTTGCTGTGGCAAGACTTCTAGTTCCTAACTAATTGTTGATGTACGCCACTACTCTGGAGTTGTCCAACTGGATCCCAATTGGATAAATTACCAGTCGGGATGTCCAACGTTGGCGCAACAACCAAATCGCCCAAAGCTGCAGAATGTTGATAGGGAGACAGTATTTCTCCAGTGTCCACCAGGCTACCTGAATGACTAGTGACTCTGCCATTCTAGCGCCAGAGCCAGCTGTACCCACCCCTCCCCCATCTGTCCGTCCTGTGTGCACTGGAGGAACAGAGAAAGGAGGGGGGAATCCCTTGTAAGGATCAGTGATTGACAGTCACCACACTGAAGGGAAAAGAACGTGAGCCGAGCTATCAGCGTTTACATGATCGCTCAGCTCTCAGTATATAGAGACTGCAGTGTTCTTTAATGTACTCCAAGAAACGGGTAAGACAAAAATCCCGTTTTCACAACCGTACATCACAGGACACATCACTGGAGTTCTTTCTAAGACCACTGGAACATTCAAAAGTAGTCCAACAGAGGGGGAGGCAACACAGCAAACAATGGCTAACATGCCCAAGGAATGAAAACTCCAACTTGTAATAGAGAACCAGGGGCACCTATAGAACTTTACGACAAAAACTCACATTTGCAGAGGTGTGAACATCGAAGCCCAAGAAGCACTAATACTTTTATTGGAGTGAGCCATAACCGTAAAACGAGGAGCTTTCCATTCACCTAGCAATAATGGAATGAGAGGCATGCAGAGACCCTCCAGAATAACGAACAGAAAGTTATACTTGTGAATAGTAGCAGTCGCAAAGAGGTAAACACTGACCACCGGTAGTACGACCAAATAGTGTAGGTAAATTTCCTTGTTCCCTGTTCCCTGTCCAGGTGCAGGATACAAGGATGGTAACACAATGTCTCGGTAAGGGGGAAGGCAGAGAACTGCTGGGGGAGAGAAGAGGCCTTAGGCCTCAGCACAACCTTATACTTATGAAAGACCAGAAAAGGCTTTTAGTGTGGCAAGGCTTCTAATTCAGACAGAAGCCAGCAAAAGTGATGGCTATATGGAAGGCCACCTTGAGAGTAGGCAAAGATATATAAATATCTCTAATCATCTCAAAGGGTAGCTTCTGAACCAGATTGAGGTCCCATGATGTCACCGAAACACAAACGGGGAACAACATGTGCCAGCCCTTGCACAACGGCCTTCACAAAAGAGTGAGAGGCACGCAGTCTCTAGAAGAGGATCACCAAAGAGAAAATCTGACCTTTAATGATAATCAGTGCTAAACACTGGTCCGGGCCAGACTAGAGAAAGTGCAATGATAAACCTCGTGGGAGGCCGACTTCCTAGCTTTAAGGGGCGAAGAGATGACAACATCAGAAAGGCATCTGTCCCTGAGGATATGGGCTTTAACAACCATGCCGTTAAATCCAGCGACTGAGCATCAATGTGCAATACCAGTCCTTATGAAAGTAGGTCTAGATGGTCTGGAAGTGCCCATGTAGAGTCTGCCAAGAATTTGAGCACATCTACATACCAGGGCCTCCTAGGCCAGTTGGAAGCAATATAGATCACAGGGATGCCCCCCTGTCTCGATCCTGAAAACTAGGTGAGGTGAGAGTTTCAGAGGAGAGAAGGTATACATAAGTGTGAACTGATCCCACAGTCACCAATGCAAACGACAGGGAAAGGGCAGAGGCATTGAATACCTTTCTCTCATCAGTATTCACTCGGGAAAAAGACGGTGCTATTAAAACATAAGAACGCACACAGTTCATCTCAAAAAATTCAACAATGGTTGACAGAAACCGAGATACAACACAGACTCAAACTACTTAATGCAAATAAAGCATTAGGACCGGATAATCTACACCCCAAGGTACTTAAAGAACTAAGCCAGGTTATAGCGGGACCATTATTCATAATTTTAAAAGATTCCTTAATGACTGTCAGAGTGCCAAGCGACTGGCGGAGGGCTGTGGTGGTTCCAATATTCAAAAAAGGGTCCAGATGCCGTCCGGGGAACTACAGACCGGTTAGCCTTACATCGGTGGTTTGTAAAGTGTTAGAGGGCATGATTAAGGACCACTTAGTAGAATTTGTTCAGGATAATGACATAGTAAATGACAACCAGCATGGATTTAGGAAAGACCGTTCCTGTCAGACTAACCTGCTAACGTTTTACGAAGGGGTAAGAAGAGATCTGGATGGAGGGAGGCCAGTGGATGTGGTATATTTGGACTTTGCTAAAGCATTTGACACGGTACCACGCAATCCTGAGAACTGAAAACAGTTCATACTTTTCTCTCCCTAGTGTGAATTCAGGTAGAGGGGAGGTCAGAGCGGGTCTCTGCGGTAGCAGGAAAGACAGTCCACTTGCAGCCCTTGCAGCTAGGAGGTATTAAAGAGATTAGCCATCTTCCCCATAAAATCCATCATAACAAAAGGTAAATTCCTCTCTAGATAACACATTTGAGGAGTGAGCCCCAGAGACAGCAAAGGAGGACCCTGATGCTAGCAGTAAAGGAGATAGGGAGCGCACTATGGAACTAAGAAATAAGGTCCCCAGAGAGGGTAGAAGCCTCACATGAGCCACAATTCAGCTGAGTGGTTCCCATGCCCCCATGTTCTGCCATGTGCATTGCCCCACAAAAAGCACTACCAATGTTGAGAGGATATCCTGTTTCCAGACATTGTAGGCAGCAAATGTGACCCAGGTTGAACAGGTGCAGTGCTGTGCAGTGGTGTGACAGTAAAGCTTCTTGTGCAAGGTCACAGTGGCAGCAGCAGCTAAAAGAACATGCCAGAAAGGGAAAAATGGCAACCACATGTGCAGTACAGTACCTGGGAGGACGCTGCACAGGTACCTTCCTAACCCTTAGGCCTCAAAAGGAAAACTAATGGTGCCACTTTTTTTTTTTTAAGATGAATACCATCTCAAAGTGCGACACTTAAGTCGGGCCAGAGCTGCAGATTTAACGCATTAGATTAGAGGCCTGTCAGAGCACCTGAGGGGGGCTGGCAGAGGCCACCTGAGGGGCTTTTGGTCCTTCCCATGGATGCGCAGTGCTCAGCAGGGATATGCCAACCAATCTTCACCCTCCGGATGGGCAGAGCCCCTTGAGGGGGGTCTTCAGCGTCAGGGCTCTATTAAAGGACAACGGCTATGGATGTAAAATGCACCCTGCAGAAAACCACACACACTGCACAAAGTGCAAAGAAGGGCACCAAAGACAGGTTCCAGTTACTGAGCCCATAAAGGCCCTTTTCCCTTTGGAGGGGTCAGAGTATGGTCCACCAAGGCTCTATCGAGGAGAAAGGCCAGATGGTTGCTACAGGTGCCGCAGTGGCTTAGAGCAGCATTAGGGAAACTTTGTAAAAGATCTTGCAGCAAAATTTCTGAGAAAGAATTGCAAAAAGGAGTACTTCTGAATACTGAGAGCTGTATAAGCAACGCATAAGTGTGCAGGGGCCGTAAGTGCTGAAGCTCCAGACAATGTGCCTGGTTTCAGTGAGCAATGTTTATTAAGCAGATAAGGACAGTGTTCGATATGCAATTTGGTGGGATGGCAAAGGGGGAAGCCTCTAGAGGGGAAAATGGAGCTTGTGTGTTCAAGGATACAGGAGAAATACCAGTGTGTGTGCTGGAAGTTGGATCTCATTTATATATAAAACATAACTTAGCCTATCACAGTGGTGTCCAGTATGTGTGGGGAGAACTTCTTTCCAGAGAAATTTAAGACACCACAGAAACATTAAAAAACAGTGTTGGTGATGCTATTCAGCATAAACCTATTAAACCGCCAGTACCACATAGACCTTTTAAACTGGCATTAGCTGTGGGTTAGCATTCTCACATACCTTTATGCAGATTCTTTAATGTTTCTGGAGCCTCAAAACTCTGGGCAGATATTGGCTCCACAGCCTCCCAGTTTCTCCCTACAGGCCCATCCATGGGGTATTAGGAATTATTTTTTTCGTCAATATATTTTCTCTCTTAGAGCAGACTAGCCAATGTTTTATAGGCTTTTTTCTCTTCCTCTGGATCAAATACAGGTTTAAGAGTCTGAGGTTGCAACAGTGTTTAAACGGACTTAGGTTATAAAATAGTACATCTCAAGTTTTTAGGTTCCCAGAACATTTAATAAGCTACCTAAATGAACTTTGCAAGCACCTGTAGATGCCTGCTACTGGCAGTTTATTAGGTTTGACAAGTCAACAGTTTTTGTTTAAAGGGCAACATAACTGATTTTCGGTCTTCTGTTCTGTGCTGGGAAAGGGTAGGACAAAGAACCATAGCCCTAGTTAATTTTTCTATATGTAAATTAGAGCATCCAGGTTTTCAGTTCCCTAAACAGCTTTAGAAGTTAAGTAACCACACATGTAGGTGCCAATAGGTCTATGTATCACCATTTACTTTACTACATGTACTGTGTGAATGGGCAGTACATTCTGTCACTATACGACAGGGTGCTCACTCATTGATGATCTTACCTGTCTGTAGAGAGAATCTTTACTTGCGAGCTCATTTTCTAGCTTGTCATTGACATCGTGTAGTGATGTAGCTTCCCTCTGTGCACTAAGGTAGCGTTTCTCTAAGGTAGTGATACGCTCCTCCATATCCTCCCGTTGTGCTAGAGCCTGGAGCCAGAGGACAAAAATTAGGGGACAGATTTTTAAAACAGACAAAAGTAATTCCACTTCCCCATTACTGGAAGGTACATGTTTAAATCAAAATTGTCAGCCATGTGAAAAGTATAAGTCATGCCCAGGAGCAGGTATCACAAGGTGCCTGCTATTACCTCTTTTGGTCACAAAAGCCTCTTATGTGCACTCTGCACTCTTTCACTTAGATACTAAAGGCCCAGCCTCAGAACTAAGCTTTATCCTGTCCAAAAGGAACAGTCATCAGAAAAAAGGATGGAGGGTGAGTGGGTATTTTTGTGTAAATTGCTATAGAAGCCCACTTGCTACACATCAATTTGTATTCTAGATTTAACAATAATGGACCCATGTTAGAGTCCATTAAAATACAGCCTGCATCTTTTATTATAGGCACCAAGTTAAGCAGAAGACATGGCAGCCAACAGTACATGGCACTAAGGAAGTGTGCGGGGAGTGATCTACTCACACTTCCTGAATAGTTACAGCACCGAAGTGACTTCAATTCCCCCTGGACCGGAAGCGGGCTACTATTTGCATTTATAAAATAAGAGTGTCTATCCACGTCAGTGCAGATTCCCCCATGTGTACACATACAAACTTTCCCCAGTACTCTGTGTCAGACTCCTATCACTTTCCCCCAGTGATGCAGTACTTAAATATTTGTATATGAAATACAATAATTAAAATATGGAACCGAAAAGTAAAAATGTGAAAGCTACATTATATTAATACTTAAAACAAATATTACAATTAATCCCCAAATTTGTAAATACGGAAAATACATTATGGTTTCTCCTTAACAGTACTGTAAAGTTTGGTTCATGTTTAAAAGCTTTATTGAATATTGTGTAATATACAGCGAGGGTATCACTTATATTCTGCTAAAACTCTACTGATGCCAATATCTCACCAATGTGGATGAGCTTTAAAACACAGAAAGGGTGTAATTACCTCTTTTACATCACGCTGCAGTTTGGAACAGGACTCCTCAGACTTTATAAGATCTTTTTGTGCTGTGTTTAGCTCCTCCTCAAGTTCGGCCATTTGGCGACACATCATGGTTAAGCGCTCCTTAAGCTGACACAGTTCTAACCTCTGCTTTTCCACCAACTCCTCCAGTTCCGTCTCTCGTCCACCTCTCAGTTCCAGGTGGGTACAGCCATTGACGACAGTCTAAAAAGAACACAAAGAATAACTATAGGTCCTGGGTGTTAGGCATCAGCTATTTAAAGCAAATACACTTTTAGGTTTGATTAATGAATCAACAGATGAACATTGGCACTCCTTTTCTAAGCCAGGTACCCATAGTCCACAGAATGCTTTGGTTGGCAAGCTGAAACGGCTCTGAATAGCATGGAATATATTGTTTTTTAGAGGCACAATTATTTCTTATACAGGATTCTCTACCAATTTGAATAATACTTTTGGATAAACATAGCTGAAAGCCTAAAAGTAATTTACCCTAATCCTAAACATTAGTTGAAACCTCATCCCTAACTACTAGCCTAAATCTAATAGCTAACCAATATAGGTGAATGTGAAGTTAAAACACAACTACAGTCATGTGAAAAAGAAAGTACACCCTCTTTGAATTCTATGATTTTAAGTATCAAGACACAATAAAAAACATCTGGTCCTTAGCAGGTCTTACAATTAGGTAAATACAACCTCAGATAAAACAACACATGTTACACAGGTCATTATTTAATTTTACAAACATAAGACAAAATTGAGCAGCTATGTGTGAAAAAAGCTGAAGACCCACTTCCACATTAGCCACATTCTTGATGTAAATAAAACCAGCATTTTCCATCTTGCCCAGACCTTCAAGGCCACTATAAACTACCATCCCAATCCTTTTTTAGCTACCTTCAAATAACTGCTCAGTTTATAGTTCCAAATTAAACTTTCTCCCAACTAATGCCCTTTGAGAAGATTTGAATTGAGGAACATTCATGTAGAGGATTTTTCGAGCATCTACAAATTCCTAATAGCCCCACATGTGTGAAGCTTGGATGAATAGGCTATATATAGATTTCGGCCCACAAGATATTGATTGTACAGTTTATAAGGAAATCAATTAAAAATACTTGATCATTGGTACCATTCTTCTGCCTTTTTACATACTCTCAATCCCAGTTCCCAATCGATGTTGGAGGTAACCCATAGAAACCCTGTAACACATATTTTGGACCTTTCCTAAGATATAACCCTTTTGGTGTGGAGTTGAATCCATTTATCTGCTGGAGATTCTACTCATTGGTTTCCTTCAGGAATTCCAGAAGGTTGATCCTCCACTTACTGAGAGTATAAAGGTGTTTGATCGCACATTGATGGAAGACACAGAGCCCATTAATATTTGACTAATATTTACATAGAGATTACTTATGTAATCTCTATGTGCAGAAATGAACAATAACCTAAATAGGATCGCGTTTGGAACCCTTAGGACAGCTTCAAAGTTAAATCTAACTCCTTCATAAGCTTAGGTTATCCACCTTACCGTACACCCTACTGGTCTACTACCAAACTAGTTACCCAGCTTTCTCCTATTTCCTTAGTAACCACTTTTTTTTTCTTTTTACTCTCCCTAACGCCCACACAGATGGTTAAGCCCTTCCCCTCTATCTTTCGTATTTATTTTCCCTTCCATGTTCTCTGTATATCTTGACTGGTTCATCTGATGAGTACAATGCTGCTCCTTATTGCCTATTTAACCTCTAAAATGTAACATACCAATAAATAAGGCATTAGACCAAAGAAGACACATAAAGCATTTATCAATGCTTGGATTACTTGACACTCCAAAAACAAGTGGGGTTCACTACCAACAGCCCCTTACCTGAAAATATGTTCATAATTTGACAAACTCAATATGATTCACAATGTATTTGTAACTAAATGTCCAATTCTAATCTATGTTTTTACTGAATGTCAAGATGTTTTGGAATGTTTACTTGGAAAACATGTTAATAAAAACACATCAAAACTAAAAGAACTTCAGATACATTTTTAAAAATCAAGCCATGATTCAATGATGCATTCCTTCAAAGCCTTCAAATGATTTTCAATTCAACTAGAGCCATCTGTCTTTATAGTCAGTTTCCCATATGCCAGATGAAAGAAGAAGTCAGGATTACAGCAGTAGTATCTTTATTAAACCTTAACAGTTGGGCAGAGACATATATAGGTGGGTTTACAGGAGAAAGAGCTCAGCATGTATACCACAAATGTGGTGATGTTTTATGGCAATCCAAAGGGCAGGGAGAAAGCTGGCAGTGTCAAAGTCTGCAAAAAAACAAGCTCTAAAAAAGTGATGTGTGACTTTTTATGCTAAGCAGACTTTATGTGTTAATCAATGGTATACATGGCTGGATGTGCTCTTTAAAGAACTGGAGTCTGGATTAACATGAAATAGGAAATTCAATCTTGCAGTTGTACTGTCTGAAAACTCGGGGGTCTTTGAGAAGGCTAGAGACTCTGGGGACACAGAGAGACACCGGAGGCTAAGGAGACATGTAAAGCTGGTGGATCAGTATGTCTGCATATTTGGGGAAGGTGTATTTGAGGCACACAGTCTAATGAGCACATGGTATTCACCAAAGCACAGCACATATGGGTTCGACTCTGCTGAGCGTCATGAATAACCCCCTACGTAATCACTGGGAACATACAGGGGAAGTAGTTATAGTGTTTTGCAGCACTGGGATGCTGGGTGGGAACAGACTGCAGTAGCAAAAATCTCTTGCCGCACTGGAGTGCTGGGATTACAGAAGGCACCAGTGCCAAATCTCTGAGAGTACAGGGATACTCACTAGGGTAAACAGGGCACGTTAGTGCAAGAACACTGGAGGCTCACTTGGAGAGTACAGAGTACACAGGTGCAGGAATGCTGGAAAATCTCGTAGAGCACACAGGTGCAAGAAAGCTGGAGTTTTGTTGGAGTACACAAATCACTTGTGTTCAGGTAGGTAGCCACAGCGGGTCACATGAATCCTCAGAAAGCAAGAGACAATCTGCGGAGACGTAGAGGTTTCAGCAGCTAGCGTATTAACACATTGCTTGAGAGCCAAGCAACAAGTGTATTAGCCCTTTAATACAGGAGATGGCTGCAGATTAGCTCTGGCGCAGGCTGCCACGCACAGCGGGAAAAACACTGTTATGAAGCAAGGCGCAGGTAAGTGTGACAGTTTGTATATGTGTGTATCTATTCCTCTAATACAATTTATACTAGAGTGGTACTTACAGAGTTCTGTGAGTCTCCATCTTTACTGCCGTCATCAATCCCCGATCTCCTCCTGGCAAGTTGCTCTCGAAGGGATAGTGACTGAAACATAAAGCAGAGATTAAACATTCTTGAAAATATCAAAAGTCAGTTCCAAAGAAAAGTGAGCAAGCCTACCTCTTGACTTGACAACTCTAGCTCCTCTTCTAACACTGCAACTCTTTCAAGTGCCACACGGAGGCGTTCTCGCACCTGGAAAAGATAGAGTGTGGTCAGCGTAAAGTAGAGGAAAGTTCTTTTAATAAGAGGAAGACATTTTAAGATGAAGAATATGTACCCAGTTATATTACAGGGATCCCCTTTAAGCTAATTGACCGCTTTATGAAGTTTTAGATTGTTCATCAATCCCCAGTTATTATATCTGTGAACTGCTATGCTTGCTAGGTGAAAGAAAAATTATCTTGCAGGAAAAACAATAATAAATAGAGCATGCAGGAGAGTCCTGATAGTATAGTAATATATTAAAGAACTATGGGGTCAGTGTTTTTCCCCATAGTTCTCCTTAGGGTAACGGGAGGACACAAACTAGCGTCCTCCCGTTACCCTAAGCTCAGTATACCGCGAGCTACATCTCGCGGTAACATTTATATTATGCTGACTACCACATGCGCAGTGTATGCTACATTCAAGACATGACTCTGGTAATAACTGTCACAATTTTGCTAGTGTGCTTATGTCAGCTCTCAACCAAATTTTCAAGCAACCTAATGGCTGGTGTCATAGCTGATCACATGTGCAGTACCATTGCAACCGCATATCAAAATAGAGGCTAATATGGCGTCGTCTTTCGTTCTAAAAGTATAGTTGGGTTTAGTTCTGCTTTAAAACATAGCAATAAAGAGCAGACCTTTCCTCACATGAAGGATGGGTCTCAGCAGATTAGATTAAAATACCACAATCTACAACCATAACTGATCCATACATAGTCATTTTAAGCCTCATACACAAGAATTTCACAAAAGAAAGAGTCCTTTGTGTGTCCCAGAGAGCACGACTGCACTGAAGCAAAGGCTAAACATAGAAGATAGAAAGCATCTGTGTTAACATGAATAAAGACTGTTCACCTAGTACCTGCAGACCTAGCTGGCTTTAATTGTTCAGCCAGACCCCCTGCTCAGAAGAGATCATGTATGGGGTAGAATGCTGCAAAAAACTAACAGGGCTATTCACAAAAGGATGAAGGGTTTGGAGAAGGCAGGAAAAGTGAAAAATCTAGGACAACATAGCTGATTTGGAAAGATTCTCCAATTGCGTTCACTTTCCAGTTCAGCTATGTTGTTCTAGATTGTTCACTTCTCCAAACTCTTCACCCTTTAGTGATTAGCCCTATAAATGTGCATTTAAACATATCACTTGTTACTGTTTTGGTTTCTAATTTATATAGACATGCACTTTTCTTACCTTTTCATCGAGGGCTTTGTGATGCTCAAATAGGGACTTTAAAGCCTTTAACACCTCGACCTCACTGGAGACCCCAGCTGGTGATTGTGCCTGTCTCTTTACAACAGTCATCCTTAGAGAACGTTCATGACGGGAAACCAAACACTCCAAATGTTCCAAAAGCAACTGCAGATATGGAGAGAGCGGAAGGATAAGTACAGGATTATGGGAGGAAAGCCAAAAATACATTTACCAAAAACCTGGTTCCTAGGAAGACATCATAACACAGAGATTCTTTTTTTTTTCTCGTCCCCCCTAGCACCTCAGCTGTTGCAAACTTTGATGACCTTTGTTTAGAATAATGGTCATTACCTGCTGATTTTTTTACAGACAAAAGCAGAGTCAGCATAAACAATAGTAAGATACATTACTGAAGCAGAGAGCTGTTGCATTTGCCAAAAGAAATTTCAGGCAACGAATGAAAGGAGTGAGCTGCTAATGCTATACAGCAAACCCTGTACTAAATTAAAAAAAGACCACTCAGATTACTTTAATTTACCGCTTCAGCCAGAATCCAGGTAGCTCCACAAATGTGGAGTAGGTAAATCTGTTTCCTAAATTTGTGCTGTGCAATTTTCTTTGTCTGCATCCTGTATAACCAATTGGATTAAAATGTCCAAGGTAGGCATGAATCTGATTGGTGGCTGTGGGGTATTTCCTAGTTCAGATAATTGAATACATCAGGCTTTCTGTAGGTGAAAAGCACAAAGCTGTGTTTATGACCGTGTCTCCTGTTTTACAAGAGGTTTTACAATCACAAGGTTACTTGTGATATGGTGCAATGACTGGATATAAAACTGAAAGAACTCTGGGAAAAATTCTTCTTAATCCTTGTAGTGGGACAACCCTAGTACTGCAAGGGTTAAGTGCTTGTTTTTTTGTCTAGGTGCGAAAATAAAAAAAACGTTATATTCACCGAATCTCAGAGCCGGTTGCCTGTTAGACCGACCATTCAGCCTCTCTGCCCCTCAGCTCCAGTGGTCTAAGGCCCCGTGAGTCATCACATCCAATACACTGAGAACTGGACGTGAGTACACCAATCAATATACCATTACTGGAGCGGAGGAAGAGACAGGTTGAAGGGAATGTTTGAAAATGAGCACTTAACCCTTGCAGTGTGGGGGGTAGCGCCACTGCAAGGGTTAAGACCTTTTTCCTAGAGTTCTTCTTGAAGCCCACAGTAAGGTAAATGCAATGCAAATACATTTGTTTTCACTTTTTAGTGGAATTCTCCTAATTAAAGTACATTCTCTATCTACAATGGCTGGCTGGATGCACAGCAGAAAAAAATGTGTCCCTGTTAATGTTTTCGAAATGTTGACAACTATGAATAGGGAGTTATTATTTTCTAACCCTGAAAGATGTTTTATCTTGAAATGAATCTATGCCAGGATGTCTGGAACTGCAAAAACACATTACACCCAGTGAACAGACTGTTTCTCACTTTTTGTATTCTAATAAAATCTCAGTAGACCAAATACGTATTTTTTTTAATTAACCTCCTGTACATCTGACAGCACACATGATAGCAAAGACTAACAGCTCCACAAAGCACAGAGGAATTAAAGATAATGCCATCCCATGGATGGCTCATAACAAGGGACTTCCAAGTAAGACTTTATTATTTAATATGCTTCTTCTAGCCAGGTACAACAGAGACATTTACTATAAGTAGATTTGACATTTGTGGTTCATTGCTATATAAAAATAGACACAAACAAAAATAAAGACACAGCCTACAGCATACTAATTTTTGTTTAATAGCATTATTATTATCATTATTGCATCACATTAAAGGTTATTTCATGCGTGCGTTGAAAATTGAATGAAAGAGCAACGCTGATTATAGGCATTCGGCAGGCATTTTCCAGGCATTAAGGAGGCGTCAAAAATGCTTGCAAAATGCCCTGCAAGTAGGGAGTGTTAAAGGGGGAGTGATGTAATAAAGGGAACTGACGAGCTTTGAGGTGTGCTTAGGCTGTGATGAAATTTGCAGGCATATTGTTGGTTTTCTGTGCTGTGTTTTGCTGAATTAATATAGATCCAAATGTATTTTGACAACATGGGTTTGTATTCAGAGACCTAATCCTCGCTTGCCCGGCTGAAGATGATTTATTTCAGACATGACTGGTTCTGGCTGGTACTTGCAATCCCTGGCAATGGTATGGCAGGCACTGCTTTGGATGACACTGAAAACAGCTGGCATTACAGGGTGGCATAGGTCAGGCTGTCACAGGTTGCAAGTGTGCAGACAGGAAGTGGCATCTGCACCTGCTCTGTTCACTCACTCTATGATTCCCCAGTGGTTTCTGGGATTGCAAAACCTCCCATGCCTCTCCTAAAACACCTGTGCAATGCTTCTTAAATGCCCAAAAAATGCTATAGGAGCATTGACAAACCATTTCAATATACTTCAATGGAGGCATTTGTCCAGCGGCAATGCCTCTTGAACGCGACATGCACTCTATTTATGAACTCACAGCAACACAACAAAATGCTAACGCCCACATATGAATTGCACTGAGCGGTTGCTATTGCATAATCCCACATAAGCATTAATAGGCGGCAGAGAGGCTTTAAAAACGCTTCTCTAATGCCAGATTTTAACACACATGTGAAAGAGGCCTAAGATGTACTTAGTATGCATTCAAAAAACAGCAGCTCTCAGAACATACCGGGGAGTGCTTCCAGGATTGCGGAGAAGTGGGGTCCTATATTCACATATGGTGGTCTTGCCCAATAGTGCAGGCTTTCTGGATCCGCGTGATGCATTTTCTCTCTAACCTACTGGACATAATGCCATCAGACCCGAAGGTGGTTTTACTCAACCTTCTCCCAGAAAACCTCTCTCGCTTCCAACACAGGTTTCTGATGCACGGTCTCGCTGCAGCCAAGCAAACCGTGGCAAAATGAATAGCACTGCAACGCACCTCCCACAGTAGAATTTGTTATGCCGAAAGCAAAAATTACTTTTTTCCCACTTTTCATAAATGGCACTTGAATCGCTTCAGCTAGGGAATGGCAGCTGCAAGTGGCAAGATTCCGCAGACAGCAGTTGAATGTAGATACAGCAGATAGTGGGCTGGTACAATAGTCAGCCTTCTATTGGCCATTTCAAATTGCAATAGACAATAGCAGCCTGGCTATTGCAACCGCCCACTGTTTGCTTTGCCCTTTAGCGTGGAGGAGAGAGCTAGGGGATCCAACTAATCGATAATGAGAATAGATAACAAGGCAGCCGAATGAACAACTGAACTGAAGTGAAGTGAGCGGAAGCCTCTTCGGCTATTCAATGCAGCCCTACACGGCTATTTTTAACAGTTGTATGAGACTTACCTGCAGATGGACTCCCGCTCAAAAACGTGCATGCACACAAGTATGCAATCCATTGCCTAAAGTTCCTGGAAAACGTGCTTTAGCATGAGTGCGCAGAACTTTCTACGCTGCACTGAGCCATGACCACGTTGCTGAGTGGTCTTCAGCTTGTCACTGTGTGCCCTGTACTTTGTTATTGTATCCTGACGTCCTGTGTATGAACCCGGCTTGTGACCAATTGACTTTGCCTCCTCCTCCTGATTCGGTACCTAGGTCTGGTAGGAATTTTAAGGGAAACCGTAACGCAAAAAAAAAGTGGGGTCCACCCTAAAATCCCATACCAGAGCCTGGCAGCGGTCTGGCAGGGCAGGAAGGGGGGGGGGGACGAGCGAGTGCCCAACCTCTCCACCATACTAGGCTAGATGCCCTCAGCATTGCTGATGGGGACAAGAGCCTCTTCCCCCCACAACCCTGACTCGGTGGTTGTGGGGGTCTGTGAGCAGGGGGGCTCATCTGAATCTGGGTACCCCCTTTCATAAAGGGGGCACCCAGATGCTGCCACCCCCCTTGTGAATGAGTAAGGGGTACTTGTACCCCTACTCATTTTCTAAAAAGGGTTAAATAAAATGTCAATAAAACACACAACAATTAGAAAAAAATCCTTTGATTGAACAAGAAACACAAAACAAGTTTTTGACTACCATATTTTTCCGGGAATAAGACGCTACTTTTTCGTCTTATACACGGGGGCCGCGGTTTTGAAAGTGCTGATACCACTGCAACCTAGCCTCACGGATTGCAGAGACAAGATAACAGTTCTCCTCCAATCATAAATCTTTTGAACCTGAGGTCAGTTGTTGCTGGGGAGATCGTGTAGGCAGTGCCCAGAGCGGTAATGTCGGAGCATTCTGTGACCATAAAAATGTCAGAAAGTGAAAAACAACCTGTAAAGCGGCTGGCTTACTCTGCAAAATTTAAACTGGATGTTATCACTTATGCAAAAGAGCATGGAAATAGAGCTGCAGAGAGACAATTTGGACCTCCTCCCACTGAGTGTATGAAAAAAATGTCCCACAAAGTCATTCCAGCGTCGGACGACAAATGAGAAAAAAAAAACAACTCCCCTATGCAATGTTTACATCGGGCATTGGGCAGAATAAACAAAGCTTGCTATTGGCTATTTAAAATAGCCAATAGCATGCTGGCTAATGCTCCACCCACTGCCTGATGTCAGTCACAGAGGAGCGGACCTAAGAGAGAACTTTCTCAGTCACAGAGGAGCGGACCTAAGAGAGAACTTTCTTTCTCAGGTCCAGTCCTCTGCAGAAGCAATAGCCATTTTGCTATTGGCTATTTTAAATTGCAATAGCAAGCTGGATTTTGCTCTGCCCACTGCCTTCTGTCAATCAGCAGAGGAGGGGATCTGAAAGAGAACTTTCTGTCTCAGGTCCACTCCTCTCTGGACTGACAGAAGGCAGTGGGAGGCAGCCATTGTTCCACCCCCTGCCTGATGTCAATCAGCAGAGGGGCGGACCCCACGCTGTTTTTTTAATTATTATTTCTGTGGACAGTTTAACACTTTTGTGTGCAGTATTCTGTGACAACTGTCAGATTCTTTACATTCGGAACCGACGTGTCCGCAAAGAAGCAGAAGCTGTTACAGAATAACACAGATCTCTCGGCTTCTTTCTTTATTTACATTTTCTAAAAGTATTGTTATTCTTCGTTTTCATGTGGGATACAAGTCAGAGAACAGTAAATGACAGCTCTCCCGCTTGTTGTGTTTGTTCCAAATTAAATTAGTATGTATC